AATCAACCCTCAAGAGAATTATTTATCTACTTCTATCTCAAGAATGAATGGATTCCATCTCGTATAATAACATTCCCAGCTACCTATTTCATCATGTCTCTAAAATACAAGGAATACGATTCAAGATCTCAGAATCCGTACCGAGTAAATCAAAAAACACAAATCCATAAATAGGAGTCAATTAAGAACTCAGGATTAAGATCATTCTATATATGACCATCAATAGACTCAATTAGAATTTCTATACTTAACAAAAATTATTAGAAATTCATATTGTGTCTGTGTCCTTGTTCCACATAATCTCATTATGTGAAATACACTCATTCAATATCTCGTCATATTAACAATGTGGATAACACCGTTCCATTCTAAATGGGAATGACATGTATTAATAATGTTTTAATTAAAGATTCTGAACTTTAATTAAATTCATTATGAACATCATTTTTTATTATTATCCTTAGACATTATCCTCTCGCATATAACACTTATATACAACGTTTAAGGTCACATAAATAATCATGGAATTTTCATTTGATATTCATAAAATATTCATAAATATATGCACATAAAATAATGAATAAACTCTTTTATTAAATAAATAATAAATATCATATTACATCTCATGCTTCTAGGACATTATTCCTAACACACTCGACCACCAGAGCCGCCGCACGAGTTGCCACGCACCGCCGCGAGTAGCTGGCTCTGGCAAGTCTATATTATTGAGGTTCCTGATGTCCTATCGAAGATCTGAGACCATACCCTGACTCGTTTCGACATGTTGAAAGCAACGTGACCTCCATTCGACCAAATTCAACTCTGAGAAAAATAGTACAGTACTGACTGCACGCTGATCAAGGCAATTTAGACTGAACATGTGAAGATCAGAATTTAGTGTTTAACATTTTGATGGTCCCCAAGGATCATTCATAGCACTCATGGTTCTTCTCAGAATTAGTTTCGAGGAATACACAGGGGGACACGACAGGCGAGGTACTACTGAGACCGTTTAGCTCGAAATCCAGGCATGTACAAACCTTGCCTACAATTTAATTAAGATAGTCTTTTAAAGCGTATGATTTTCACGAAATACGTTAACAATGAAATTCACAAGGTATGTTTTTGCTTATGTTAAACGTCGTATATGGTTTTCTAATAAAACTTAACGGTTTTCAATAAGCGTGTAAGTGAAAATCGTAAAAGCCGATATGCTAGACCTTTAATTTTACGATGTTAAATACAGACCTTAACACTATTATGTGCCCATCAAGTGCAGTAAAGTAAAGTTTATTAAAAGTTTAACCTATGGATAACAATTTAATTAATTATATTATATTAGACTTAGAATATGGTTAAAGAAGTTAATTAATTATTAAAATTAATTAACTAAATTATTAGACTTATTATATAGATAAGATAATTAATTAATTAGTTAAATACTAACTTAGTACAAATTTGTAAAGACAATTAAGGAAGACATAATTATGAGGATTTAATTAATTATTATAATAGAAATTACATACTTTCACGATTCTTAATAAAAATGATAAATACGTTCTAAGAAAGAATTTAATTCCTTTATGGCTATGCTAAATAAATATCGCATACAAAAAGTTAATCTCACCTTTTTAATGGGTGTTCTCACATAACTTAGCAGTAGAGGATAATAAATCTGGACAAGTAGATGATTTTGTTTTACTGAAAATCAGGTAATTAAGAATCTCACCTACAGCATGAAAATTACGGTTTTTAAAGTAAAATATTTTCACATGATTTACAAAATTACAATAAAGCAAGCAACGCAAACTAAAAATTTCACCTAACCATAATCTGGCAGTTTATGGCCAATAAATACGTAGTTTATTCTGATTTCATAGACAAACAAAAGCAATGCTAGTACAACAACTTGATTGAACATTATTCTTTGTTTTGAAGCAACAACGGAGATGCAGTAAGCAATAATGACAGGCTATGCTGTATAAACTACCATAATATGTTAATTTTGTAACCTTTAATGTTAGTCGGAGTTAGGACGGGCGAACTTCACAGAGGAGGTCGTTGGATCTGCTCCAAGATAAGATTCTAACCCGACTTTTGTGCGGAGGAAGGGCGACGAAGCTTCAATCGGTGCCGGAGAGAGGGAAGAGAGAGTAGAGTGGCGGACAAGGATTGTGAGAGAGAATGGCGGAGGGAAAAGAGAGAGCGACAGCGGGAAGGGAGTAAGAGGCTGATAATTTCAGTGAGAGAGTGAAGAGAGAGAGATGAGTATGAGAGAGAGAGAGAGAGAGATGAGTATGAGAGAGAGAGAGGTGAGAGAGTGACGAAAGAGACAAGTATTAAGGTTTTGAGTGAGAATTTTTACTTAAGAGTATGTTTGGTAGGAAAGAAAAGTAGAAGGAAGGAAGAAAGTGGAGGAATTTTAGGAGGGAAAATGAAAATGTAGATTGTTTGATAGGAGAGAAAAGATAAAGGAAGAGAAAATAGAGTGGAAAATAATACATGTGGGCCCCACTATTTTTTTTCTTTCCACAAGTGGGCAGAAAATGAGATGGAAAATGGGGACAACTCATTAAAGTGAGCAAAGTTACTAAACTACAATTTTCTCCGTCAACATCCAAGTAAAAAATTTAAGGGTATAAAAGTAATTTACGAGTAAGATTTTTTCTTTCCTCCCAATTTAACTTCCAATACCAAACAAGTGAAGGTAAACTCATTTTCTTTCCATCTTCTCATACCAAACAACATAAAAGAAAATCAATTTCCTTTCCATCATTGCTATTTTCCATCACTTCCATATTTCCTTTCTATCATATTTTTTGTCCTTCCTATCAAACATGTATTTTTGAAAATTTATGTGTTTGTAAATCTAGATTTACCTTAAATTGGTCTATTTATTTAATTTTGGCCTACTAATTTTAGTTCTTTCTACATCTTGACTAATTCCCTTCTTCTCCCTTAAATATTTAAAGTTAGAGTTGAAAGTTTGACTATCCGGCCTGAGTCACTCGGGTCCAGACGGTCCTTAAAAAATAAAATTAAAAAGAAAAATTATATTTGCATCCACTAAATTTATTAATGTCCCTATCAAATTATCATTTATGTTTATTACAATTAAACCCTATATTAAAATTTTATTAAAACCCATTAATATACTCCACATTAACTATAAATAAAAATAATATTTTTTTCACATTAATAAAAAATATACACCCACATTAACTATAATTAGAAAATATTTTTCAAACGACTAAAAATACCCCCCACATCTTTACTTACTCTAATTTCGTCTTCAGAAAGATTCTTACTATGTCGTGATTTGTTCTTCGGTGATTCTGTTTTATTGAAATGTGATAAAAAAAAAATTATTCCATATTTTTTAAAGTTGCGGTACGAGTGTTCTTGCTCTTGTTTAAAGATTCATTTATATATATATATATATATTCATTCATCGGCAATGTGGACACTCAAAAGCTGATAACTGAAAAACGTCTAGAACTATATTGAATAAAAGCAAAAAACAAAAAAAAACAAAAAAAATCACTGAATAAAACTATAACGCAGTGAACACGATAAAAAAGAACACAATAATTAAAAAAAGGACGATTGACAAATAAAAAACAAAAATAATTAATGAATTACAATATTTTTTAAAAGGAAATATAGCAATATTAACAGTTGAAAGTGATTTACTATTTTGTAAATTAAATCAAGCTTAAAGCTTAACGTTGAGTGGGGTATGAAAGGAGAAGGTTAAATTAGATATTAAAAAAATAATAATCTAGAAAAGATAGATTCTTCAAATCTTTATTAAAAGAATAATAATTGTTAGGGGTATCAATAAATTTTAAGAGTGTAAATATAATTATTTTTTAAGGGATAAAATTATTTTAATATCTTGTGTTATATTTAAATATGCTGGTAGTATCCTTTCTTTTTAATTATATAAAATGATAACTTATGGTATCTTGAGGTTGATTTTTGAAAGATGAAATGCCAAATTTACCCTTATCATTATTTTCTCATTTGACCTTATCTGTAGTTTTAGTGACACTGTTAACAATCCAAACCAATAGTGTCAACAATCCGATAGAGTTTTTTTATTATTGTTATTTAAATGGAATTTTGGGTCAACCACGTGAGAAAATAGTGATCAGGGTAAATTTGACTTTTCATATCTCAAAAATCAACCTCAAAATACCAAAAAAACATGTTCTAAAATAGTAAGGGTACTATTTTAATATTATTAAAAATTAGAGCTGCATGTTTAGTCCGAACTAAACGGGTTGGCCCGAGCCCAGCTATTGTTGGCCTGGACCCAGCTCGACCCTAAATGTTTTGGGCTTAGGGTCGGACTGGCTGATCCTTTCTCCTTTAGAGAGATTTTTTTAACGAAAATAGTAAAAAATATGCCAATATGAAAAGTTTAAGAAAGTATATAGGTTAACTTTTAGTTATAGAAATTAATAGGTCATAACTTGTCAAGTTATGGTTCATAACCAGATAAGTTATTGATAAATTTATCAAGTTATGGTTCAAAATCAGACAAGTTATTCATAAAAACCGTAAATTATGGACAATAACTTGTCAAGTTATGGTTCATAACCAGACAAGTTAAGGACGTAAACAATAATTTGACATATTTATTAACTTATGTAAACTATTGGCCTATTAATTTTAATTCATCTCAAGTCTTGATCTATTTTTCTCTTTCTCTCTTTTTTTTAAAAATACCTTATAAAATTTCAAATTGGGCTGGACTGGGCCGATCTTTTCTCCCAGCCCAGCTCAAAATTTTCCCCACTCACACCTCTATTAAAAAGAAAGGGAATCGACAAAATGTTTCGATATAATACAAGGTATCAAAATAATTTATTATTTTTAAAAATTAATTATCATGATAGGAGAAATGACACTTTGTCCGTTATTCGTGATGAAGTCCACGCCCCACGGTACGTGTAAAATTTATCCATTAGTATTGTAGATACTTGTTGAAGTATCATAAATATGTTGGAACATTTCTTCTTGCAAAAGAAAGAAAAACCATATAATTCACAGCTCACATTTTCGATTTATTTATTTATTTTTCGTTAAAAGATATTTATGACTCATTATGTATACTTGTCACTCCGTCATGAAGAGCGACCCAAATTTTGAGTGTGCAGATTTCTTGACTGAAGAAAATCAACATGAATTTTATAGCTTTTCAAATATGTTTTTTTTTTTTTTTTTTTTTTTTTTGCCGGCAATAAAACATTGTCCCAAATAGCAACATACGAAGAGACAAATCTCACTTCGAATGTCTGAAAATAATAATAATAATAATAATAACAGGAACAAGGATTCGAAGGGTTAGTGAAAGGAGGTTCCTCAGATGGACACTTTTTTTTTTTTTTTTGAGCGGAAAAATCAAGAGTCAAAACTCTGCCAACTGGGTTTGGTCAAAGTAGCGACCTGTTGGGCCCCCATCAGGTAAAAGGGCCACCATAACTGGGCCACTGGCCCCTTCTTCAACAGTTAATGGGCCTGTATGCCAATTCAGGTCGGTATTGACATAGCCAGGATGCACACAGTTGATGTACATGGTTGGATATTTCTTGGCCAGAATTCTGGTGTAAGCATTTAGAGTGACCTTGGAAATGCTATAAGCTGGCAGCATCATACACCATCCATTGGTTTCAAGTGCATTCTCTTTCAGATCATGAAGAAATCTTCTCAAAATTGCTTCCACTTTCTCTTCTGTTAGAGTTTCTATGTTCCCAAGCTCATTTCTTATGCCCTCGTTTGGAATTCTCTGCAATATTGTGTTTTGAGAGGAGAGTACTTTTAAAAGAAACAAATTAAATTTACTCTTTTTTGTGTGTGCAAATGACGCCTTGTTTATGGCTGAAGTGTATATAATACATGTAACAAGATTAAGTTCGTTTGGAATTAAAGAAAAAAAAAAAAATTGATGCAACCATACCGTTTAGCAAAAGTATAAAAAAGCACTTTGCACAAAGAAAATGCAATTTTAAAGTTATTTTGAGAAGCTGGATTTCTAACTTTTAGATTCCACTTCATTTTTATTAAAAGCACAACAATCTGAAACTAGGTATAAAACCCTCTTATTATTTGCGAAGTTATAGTCACAGCCCTCATTTAGTTCGCTAGTTTGAATTTTGTTGGTTTGAACTTTTTTATTTGAACAGAAAAAATTCAAACTACGTGATTTAAATTGTAGTTTGAATTGACGTTTTGATGTGTAGTTAAAGTTTTAATTTGAACAAGGAATAAAATTCGACTTTGTGTTTGGTATATGTGAAAAGCAGAGAGAGTGAGCACTTTTTACTGTTCAAAAATGGTTTGAACGGTTAAATTTGAGGGGAGAGCTAAACTCTAAGTTAAGCCGTTTAAGTCAGTTCAAACGGGGAATATAATTCAAACTGCATGCTTACCTAACGTCAGTTCAAACTGTGCTCATTGTTTAAACTAAGTTGTACTGAACTAAACTAGTGAAACAAACAAGGGCATAATCTCCTAGTTCATTTTCGATATTTTGTTCGTTATGATTAGATGGTGACGATAATCATGATTATGCCTAAATGATGATTGAGAAAAATGGTGACTTACTCTTAGCTCACTCCTGAGAGAGGAGACATTGACTATCCTTGCTCCTCCGGGGGAAAGCTGCAAGAGAGGAAGAAGAGCTTCTGTGACTCTTTTGACACCATAGTAATTAGTATTCAAGCACTCTTCTGCCTTTTCATATGTTTGTTTAATCACACCTTGAACCAAGTTGGCCACTTTCCCTGCAAGCTACACCAGCAATATTACCACAATTAGTGTAGTGACCAAGAAAAAAATCCCATAATTTTAATAATATAATTCATGTATTCAAGTCAAGGATTTTCCGGGAAAATCATTATACTATGTACATTTTGTGATTGAAGGATTTAGGGAATTAACATCTGCATTCCTAAATTCTGTAGCAGATTTCACGTTAAGTTCACATTTTTCCGATCAAGTAAATTCGATCGATAAATTCTCACCGTACTTTAAAACGGAAGAATTTCCAGTATAGATACAGTTAGAGAATCTTAATTTTAAGAATCTCCCAGCACAGTACAACCTAGCATCCAGAACCCGTATACAGGAGAAAATAACTGTCAGTATGAGTTTGGACAGTTTTAATGAGTAAGTTAAGGGAATGGACAAAAGTACAAGGTGTAGGTTAGTGTGTGTGATTTGATGAGATGTGATGAGAGAGGTGAATAGGACTAATGATTAGTTTTTTTTTCTCCTTTTTCTCTTCACTTGGCCGGCCATCCTTAGGAAGTTATATCCAAAAATTTTGGTTATATGTTGAGTGTGTTAGAAGGCTACAAGTTAAGGTGATGGGATGGTAGTGGTTGAAGGGGAATTAATGGCAATTTTGGCTTCTCCTTTTCTCCTTCCATAACCGGCCAAGATTGGGGAAAATTGAACCAAAATTTGGTTGATTGAGAGAGTTGATGTGGTGTTAAAAAAATAGTTT